TCATAAGATTTCAAGTTAAAATTTACCCAGCGTAAATAACAACTTTTCAAATCTGAAAGATATCATATAGATTCTGCACATAGAACTACATCATTAATACCGTATGGGCATGGATGTTTCAAACTAAAAAAATTCGCTCCGTGATGACACACCCCTACTGTAACAGTCTGTACTCACCCCTGAAGATGTGAATTACTCCGTGTTTTTTTCTGTGGTTATCAGTGCATATACTCGATCACGCATTACTCATTGATATTACAAGTGTTCCCAAAGAATGTGATGGGTAGGGAAACACTGAGTAACACTGAGACCGTTTGGCTGGTGGATGTGGAGAAATACAAATTGACTCGCGAGTGCGTGCACGGCCCACACAGTCAGACTGAGGCTGCCTTGCCATATGGGCAGCCTTTAGCAATGGTGCCATATAACGCAGTAAAAGCCAGCACGCGATGATACATATAAAATGCTACCGCACAGTAGCTTATTTACAGGGCTGCTACTCGGCACAGTAGCTTACACAGGGTTGCTACCGGCACAGTTTATATATTATTAACCTACATCTCCCTCCCCCCACGCTCATAGTCTTTTGTCTTGAGCGGACTTCTTAGTCCTAAGTCGCTCCGAGCCGCCGAGGCGCACTGTGGGCGGATCTCGTGGGAGGTGTAGGTGACTCGCCCTCGCAGGGGGGCTGCCAGTAGCATAAAATCGGCCGGAGGAAGCGCGTTCCTCCACCAGACACGCCGCTCGCATCCTGACTCTGCAGTCCCGCCGCCGACCGCCGACTCCTATCAATATGTGCCCACCTTGTCCCAACGTCGTCGTCGGGTCCTGGACGCGACGGGCGGGTACCAAATCTCCAGTGGCTGAAGAGGGCGGGCACGGTCGTCATAAGCTCGAGCCTTTAAGGTCCTGGGCACGCAAGGCGCGGCGGTCGCAGCTCTCGGTCGGTCTGCCAGTCCTTTGCAAAGGCTCTTGGTGTGTGCGCAGAAACAAAGAGCGGAGAGGGTGACCATACAGACCGGGCAGGGGATGTCCCCGTGTGGTGGAGGGTAATGCTGGCTCCTGGGTGCTCTGTGGTGCAGCACCCAGGCGTTGCTGCCGTTGGATTCGCGCATCTTCTGCGAAACAGAGCAGCTGGGATTCACGGGAAAAAGTCTCTGGGCAAATTACGTGATAACCCTTGAGGTGCTCAAAGACAACCAGGGTGTAGCGAGAGTAGGTTGCACGCCGATCCATCTGGGCATAATGACCTGTCGCCGTAAGTGATCACTTGGAAGTGAGCCCACAGTCAAGATCTGGGGAACCGTCTGCATTGTAGTACAGCAAAGCAGGGCGGTGGTCCCAGTCACGTTTGGTGAGGTTCCAGTTTTGAGGTAAAGCTTCAACTCCAATCACCGTAGTAACGCTGCGTCCCGATATCACCTGATGTGATTCCACACATCACCGGTGACGGCGACGCGATAGTAGGGGAAGGGGTAGTCCTGGGGGCGTGTCGGGATTCCACCTTCCCGGTGGTGGTTCGCCGCCGCTTGGGGCCGTATGGGCCATTCCGGAGGGGCTGCGTGCGAACCACCCAGGAAGTGCGCTGCTGTGCCCTCTCGCCTCGGCGAAGCTTGCTGGCGGCGCGCACTCTGTCGCAGTGTCCATAGCGATGCATGACACTTGCGGCCCCGTGCAGGGCATCTGTTCAGCACCTGCGCCCCTGGTCGGCATCCACGACACAGTGCGCCGGCGGTCGGGCGCAAGTTTTATTGTGCTGAAGCTTACAGCTGCCACAGGAAGCACTATAGGCGGAGGCGTGGAAAACGCGGGCAGCCTTCGCGTGCCGGTTGGCTGCCTTCTTATCCTCTTGTATTTTGAGACAGCTCTCACAGCAGGTGGGGCCTGTAAGGCGAGGTGGTGATTGGTGGCCTCTTGTATGACCGACATTCAGTCAATGTCACCCTGGGAGTGGAGGAAGTTACCCAGGGAATGATTCGCTGCATTAATCCTTCGCGTGTTCGATTATCTGTCAAGATCCCCGTGCTTGATCCAGGGCTTCTAATATTCTCGGTTGCGTGCCTTTGCAAACGTCGAGATCTCTCTCTGACAAACTCTTCGCCGCATAAAAGCCGCCGCTGATCTGTTCTCCGCTTGCTTGCAGCTGGTGAAGGCACGCGCGACGAAGCCTGTTGTTCAATTCGACATGCTCCTGTAAAAGGTAGAGCACATCCTGGCTACTGAAGATGGTGAATCGGGAGGCACTTAAATGTGCCCAAAAAACTCTCTGGGTCTCCAGAAGCAACACATCCGCAGTTGGATGAGCTGTTTGTTTGGAGAGGCATGTTGCTCCAGTCCACCCATCGGGTGGAGTAATCTGAAACCAACGCCAGCTCACTCACGAAAAGCTGGAAATGTGACGCCTGGTGAGAGGGCGGGTGGGGGTTGAACAGGATGCCTTTGGGAGCTTTTTGTTTGGAGGCAAGAGTACCTGGAGGACGCTAGTGTGATGGAGGAGGGAGTGCACTGCTTCCAGCGCTTACTCATGAAAGTGAGGGGAGTGTGGGTTAGCTCCAGGGTCGCCTAATAGTGCCTCAAAACGTGCCAACTTTTCCCTCCTCTCTTCGTGTGTCTCCTCCCTGAAGTTCCATCTCTGCTGCCTTCGGCTCCGGCTCATCTACTCAGAATTGTGGGGGTCCGGCCACAGAGGTGGAGGATGAGAGTCTGGCGCTCGTGGAGGGAAGGTGGTGGGGAGTCGTTCTATCTTGACGCTTGTCCCTTCTACCTCCCATCTGTGTAAGATGGACTGCACTGTTTAGTATATAAAGTGGCGCCTCAACAGCCTGAACCACATATATAAGATATAAACAGCGTGAAATCACGTGATATGGTCCACTGTTCTGTCCGGTGAGTGAGTGCGCAGTGTGTGTGTGTAAAATTCCCAGAGAGCGGAGCGGTTTTATGTCGGTGGCTAGAGCTGCCGGGGTGGGTGAGACCTTCTGCCCCTCCTGGGATGTCACACAGGGCAAGTGCACGGCAGCAAAGTTCAGGTACCACAAAAACAGGCCAATGCTCAACTTCATCTCTAGACACACACACTAATACACTGACACTAACACTGCCACCGTCACTAAAAACGCACTGTGATGGCCCGACATCAGTACATCGCGGCGAAAACACAGAGCAGCAGCAGCACAACAACAACACACTTTGAGTCGACGTTTACCACGTAACTGTTCCCGCATTGTTCACACACTTTGTAAGTTCCACAGATCTGACATTCGTGCCATGATGGTTAAGCAAGTGTTCCCAAAGCACGCAGTGATGGGTAGGGAAACACTGAGCAACACTGAGTCTGCTTTATTGGTGGATGAGAGAAAATAAGTGGTGACTTTGCGCCATGCACGGCTCATGAAGAACAGACTGAGGTTGCCTTGCCACATGGCAGCCCCTGGGGCAATGTTGCCACATAACGTAGTGTTGCCACGTAATGATGAGCATATAAATGCTACTCTGCACAGTAGCTATATACAGGGTTGCTATCAGGGCACAAAAAGAAGCTTATATAAAGATAAACCCACACTACATATGTGTGATTTATATACACATATACATGGTACCTACATATATATATATATATATATATATATGGATATATATATATATATATATATATATATATATATATATATATATATATATATATATGTATATATCGTGGATTCAGCGTGGGTATGGAGTGAACTGCTCTCCATTGGGCGTGAGAGAGTGGTAGGAAGCGAGCGGTGTTTACTGAATCAGCTCGACCCCTGTGATAGATGCAACTTCAGTGATCTAGTCATAAACAACATGGTAAATCACTTGGTGAATAATTTGATGAATAACATGATGTTATTCATTGGGGTGTATTTATATAAAACAAAGATGCTGTTACACCTGGATGGAAATTGTTTTTGAATGTCTCCGGCAGTTCACACCTCTATAGACTGCTTTGTCAATGGGCAGATCAAGAGGTAGCAGTATGGGTGATGAAAATAGTTGGTCAAATGCATTCACTGTGAGTGCGTTATTTTCTTGCTCCTGTGAGAACTGTGATCTTTGAACAAATTTATTAAATAAGCTTATTTTTTGTTCTTACCTATTTTGTAATTGCTAATTAATTCATTATTCAGCGCCGAGACCTTTCAGCGCCTGTGCGTTCCGTTCAACTCAGAAGCTATCTGTCTTTCATTAACGTGGTATAACACTGTATACTACACTTGATTTATATTATGTTGTATTCAACTTATTAATAGGTTAGGTTAGGTTAGGTTAGGTTATTGATTTGGTGGCGCTGAAACGGTGGCGCTGAATAGTCTGGCACTGAAATGGGCTGGCGCTGAAACGGCGGTGCTGAAACATCGGCGCTGGAATGGCGGCGCTGAATCGTACCCTACCCGTAATTCAATGATGAACTTTTCTTGAGTCGTTCTTGTCATAATCAATTTCATTGTTGTTATTTTCCTATTTAATACCCGTTTGACTGTTGTATTTTCTTAGAAGAATTGTGTTAAAACGAAATTTTCTTTTCAATAGTTTATTAATTATGAGTTTTATAAGTAATTCATTGCATAATCTTATTATTGGTGTTTATAACACATTTCTTATATCAAATCTATACATAAATTAATAACTTTTCATTGAAAAAAATGCCTGGAGACCATTTCACACAATTTCAGTTAAAAGTATGTGTGAAAATCATTTAGGCAGACAATGGTTTACAAGGAAAAGTTGGGTAGATGCTTATATAAGTTTTGAATACAGTATATGCTACCTTCTCTCCCTTCTCTTTTGTTCTCATTCGGTCTGTTTCCTTTTTCCTGCTCCAGAAGTTACTCATGTTGCTACAGCAGTGGAGTAAAACCGTTTCTTCAACTCTTTACAGTGTGTTCAGGTGACAGTAAACAAACTAACATAACAAAACGGGTCTCTTACGGGTCCAATGAGGGAATAAGTGTCGGTATAAGAGGCAATTATATCAGTTATAGCATAGCAAGTTTATTATCAAGCTCTGAACACAAAGATAAACATTATTAATATATCTAGATAAGGAAATAAACAAGACAATACACTTCAAGAGTAGGCAGATGCCAGATGTACATGCTAATGACACAAGTCTCAAGTTAAATTAGATTTTACTAATATTCTTCATCATTACTTAAAATGTGCATAATCAAGAAAATAAAGATTGTGGCAGAATTCAAATAACCTCAAAAAAACATTTCACAAGCAAAGCATGTTTTCTAGTTGCATGTCAAAACAGAAGTTTCGTCGATGATCGCCAAAAACATTTGAGGGTGTTTTTGTCGCATAGGTCATGGTGGCGTCCGTCAGGTCTGGCTGCCGTTGTGGACTAGCCGTAAGTCTGTATTAACCGGCAACAGACATCACTGCCGAAGCATAATCCGCCATGTACTGTATTTACGTAATTACAATCACTTAAACAGATCCCGCCGAGTTGTGAGCAGCGTCTATCTCTGCTTCCTGTGGGAGACGAAAGGAGGGCGTTAGAAGTAGATAGGAAAACCACTAACCCAGTTATTTCACTTTTGTCGTGGGAGAATATGGGTGAGGGGAGAAAGAAGCCACGTTTAAAACATCTCCTTGTTGATACTTCGTGCGAGGATGTTCATGTAACACTGGTACACGGTACTAAGGTGTTCATGTAACACTGGTACACGGCACTAAGGTGCTCATGTAACACTGGTACACGGTACTAAGGTGTTCATGTAACACTGGTACACGGTACTAAGGTGTTCATGTAACACTGGTACACGGCACTAAGGTGTTCATGTAACACTGGTACACGGTACTAAGGTGTTCATGTAACACTGGTACACGGTACTAAGGGTTCATGTAACACCGGCATGACGGTACTAAGGTGTTCATGTAACACTGGTACACGGTACTAAGGTGTTCATGTAACACTGGTACACGGTACTAAGGTGTTCATGCAACACTGGTACACTATACTATGGTGTTCATGTAACACTGGTACATGGCACTAAGGTGTTCATTTAACACTGGTACACGGTACTAAGGTGTTCATGTAACACTGGTATACGGTACTAAGGTGTTATGTACACCGGTACACGGTACCATGTTTGTAACACTGGCATACGGTACTAAGGGTTCATTTAACACTGGCAATGGTACTAAGGTGTTCATGTAACACTGGTATACGGTACTGTTATATATATATATATATATATATATATATATATATATATATATATATATATATATATATATATATATATATATATATATATATATATTACGTTACATATTATGAGTTGTTCAGATTTCTTCCACTTAGAACTGAGAATTTATTTGAATATTAAACTTTTATATGCTTTTATTTGTTAAAACTCAATATATTACTGAGTCAAAATAGATTGAGAAATTGAAGAAAAAAAACATCACAAATATATGACAAGGACTTCAAATGTATATTAATTATGTATGTGTGTATGTTGCCGTATGTATGAACAGGTATATGTATGTATGTATGTATCTATATATGTGTATGTATATATGTGTATATGTACATGTGTATGTATGTATGTATGTATGCATGTATATGCTGATAACCACAAGGAAAGAAGAAAACACGAAGTTCCCACGCGCTTTCGTGTAATTCACATCTTCAGGGGTGAGTACAGGCTAAGAAGAAATACAAAACAAGGTATATATATACAGAGGAGGGTGAGATTAAGTCCACAATGGTCAGGTATTAGGTAATGACCCTACTAATCCTCAAAAAGCACCACAGGAGTTTGTAGTCAGGTCAGAGGGTAAGCTGACCCAACCTTCTCAACTGGTTACAAATCTTCTTAATTACGAAATTATCTAGTTTGTATATCCCATTACTCAAATTCATTTTGACAGATTCGGTATGTTTAATGAGACTAGATTCTATAATGTTCATTCTGTCAATTGAATTACAAGGTAATATTGAGGAGGCATTATCCCAGTCAATGCAATGCTTATTATCCCTCAAATGAACAAACAGGGCATTGGATAATGTCATGGGTTGCGTTGGGCCTCCTGCACAACCCATCCCAAATGTTTGTTTACGGTAGAGATAAGGTAACCGGCCAGCCATAACTGGGACATGTTTTCAATTAGTGGCATGTTAGCCAGCCGATAGGGGGGCAGGCTAGTGAGACAGTGGTGTACTGTTCATCACTTCACGCCTCAAAAAAAAACAATTTAGCCAGTGGGCTTTAGACCTTGGGTTAGAGAAGACCTCCTGCTCCGCGGACTTAAGAACATGGACCATACAGTCCTACCAGTGCTACGAGTCTGTGTGTGCAAATCCCCGAGATTTTTGTTAAGTCCAGCGACAAGTTAACACATCCTGTAAAGGAAGTGATCAATGGTGAGGGCCTGTTTGCTACAAGAGCACTCCAGGCCGGCCTAATAGATCTAAAACAATTAATTCTCCAGGTTCACAAACTCTCCCTTATAACTTACGGTACTGTGGCGTGAATGTGAGTGACTGACCTATCCATGCAAATTATAAGTCCAGTGTATGGAATTGTGCCAAATAAACGTAAGTGCAATCATCTGCCCGTATCTGTGATCCCTCTATTATTATTATTACCAAGGGTACTGACTGATTGGTTATGACAAAGTATAGCCAATAACTTAGATGGATGTTGGAAGTTAGTGGAATTCATTAAATCATCATTTATCAAGTACACAACGCATTGAATGCCGGAAGCAGAGCTAAATTCTACGTAGTGATACACCATAATCTCTTGGGTGAATAACCAGTGTGAAGGTATCCGAGTTCTACCGTAAGAAAACCACTTTCCTGTATGTAAAACGCAACAGATTCCTGGCCTGTTAGGACAGGCCAGGAATCCAATTACACGAAAGTGCTTGGGAACTTCGTGCTTTCTTCTTTCCTTGTGGTTATCAGCATATACCTGGATCACGCACACCCACAGTGACTTACCTGCATATGTATGTATGTATGTATGTATTTATGTACAGGGGTATTTATGTATGTATGTATGTATGTATGTATGTATGCATTTAAAACTTTGCATTTTCGGAAAACCGTTATTAAAAACAAACTCGTAATAACATTATGTCAGTCTTAATGCAATATCTAAGTATCGGAAGAGGAGTTCAATACATTTTCTTGCAATGTGTGAAAGAGATTACTTTAAAATTAATTAAAAAAAGATGAAAGAATAAAATTTGGAAAATTTCGTAGTGAGAAAGGTTTGCTTAAAACTGATATTAAGAACAAGTTTCTCTTCCTTTATCATTTATATCATCATAATTTTTGTCAATCTTCAAGCATCATGATGACTCACCAAACTCTAGACGTCTAGAGTGACTCATCAACACTGAAATGACGTATCAAGCACAAGGGTGCCTTGCCAAGCACCTGGGTAACTCAGCAAACACTACACTAAGATAAAATATAATTATGGTGACTTACCATTGACAACTGAAACGGCCAAGATCACCAGCACCAGCAGGAATACGATGCTCTTGGTATTCATTGTTCACCAGCCTGTTGGGAGGAAACTTTCACTCACAGAACACGATGTACATTCGTCTGACCTGTATAACGAGCTTTTATATTTTAACTGTACAAAAAAAACGTCTAGTGGAGGACTTTTCTTATTACTAAGGTCAAGAGAACCCCATTTTGGGATTCTAGTGAGGAGGGTGGTAGAAATGGCGAGGAAAGTATAGGGATCGAAATTGCATATTGTAGTATGTTGGTATATATTTAAATTTCATCGTCTCTCGCTTTTCTTTGTTTCATATTTGGCATGACTTATTATTTTATTTACCCCTTGTGTATATATATACACACACATATATATATATATATATATATATATATATATATATATATATATATATATATATATATATATATATATATATATATATATATATATATATATATATATATATATATATACATATATATATATATATCATCTTTACTATGATTCACAGTGCCCGACTTCTTAAAGGTGTTGCACAAGGAATATAAATCAAGACTTTAATTACATTCCTCTGTGTTTCGATTCACCATTAATTTATATCCATCTACTAGATAATTATATTGTATATATCTATATATATATAAAACAAAGAAGTATGTGTGTTTGTGTGTCCGCACGAGAATCTCGGAACCTTCTTTACCGATCTGTAGTGATGATGGGTGGTGTTATATGTAGTGATGATGGATGATGTTATATGTAGTGATGATGGATGTTGTTATATGTAGTGATGATGATGGATGGTTTTATATTTAGTGATGATGGATGATGTTATATGTAGTGATGATGGATGTTGTTATATATAGTGATGATGGGTGGTGTTATATGTAGTAATGATGATGGATGGTGTTATATGTAGTGATGATGGATGGTGTTATATGTAGTGATGATGGATGATGTTATATATAGAATATGAAAAGTATCCCTCTGTTGTCATTGGCAACATGGATAAGAAATGTGAATACTACGGTGCAAAGAAGTACAAAGGAGAATCTGCTGGACTGTGCTGCTCTCATGGGAAAGTACGACTGCCAAATTTGGAAAAAACACCACAACTATTGAAGACTCTCATACTGGAAATAACACCAGAGTCAAAATACTTCTTGGAAAATATATGGAAGTATAATTAATGCTTCCAGATGACATCCTTTGGAGCTACCAGAGTAGTTCGTAAGCACGGGTACATGCCCACATTCAAAGTCCAGAGTCAAGTCTATCACAAAGCAGGATCCCTCGTACCACTGGAAGATGAGCAGGCAAAGTTCCTCCATATCTACTTCACGGGAGATCATAAAAAGCAGACTACTATCAGGTGTGGCAACATTCAAGGTGTCAGATATGACATTGTCCTATCTATCCAAGAAATGCTGCATGAGTGCAACACGTATGAACAGTCATTTAAAAATGCCCTGGAAAACATGCCTTCTGACGAGTACAAAGTC